ATAGGATTAAATTCTTGGTTTTACATTTAAAATGGTTTCTGAGTCTGGCTGTCACGTTTTGGTATGGGTTTTGTTTCATGTCTTTTATTTTAAAGTTTAGGCTGGTCATAGTTCCTGTTTGTCTTGTGATTCCCGTTAGTGTGTTATATTCTCATTGTTTCATTGTCTGCTTGTTCGCCTGTGTATAAATATAAATAAATATGAGTCCAGCTCAGCTCTCTGGAACTACTGTTGTGGAGTGTTGTTTTCATGGCAAGTTTGTTCACATTTATTTGACTAAAGCTGGACTGTTTTCACTGCATCTCGACTCAGTGGAGCTCATTACACTGGCAGAACATGTGGATGTTTTTTATCTTTTAACTATGGGTAGTCATCTCTGTTTGTTTAATGTTTTACTTTAGAAAATGGTCATCATGTGTGTTTTATTGTTAACAAATTGATCAGAGTCGTATTAGCATAACTAGTACTCTCACTGCATGGATTTAATTAAAGGAAATGCACAAACTAAGGCAACTTTTCAGTTCAAATTGTTTAGGTTTTTTTCTCCAAAACTAAAAGTCTCTATCTTATTATGCTTAAAGTTGCATTAATGGATGAAAAGACAGAAGTTATCTTAGGGATGACAGGTTTTAAAAATGTGTGACATTTGTTAACTGTAAGTAGCCTATTTATTTGACACAATTTGTCTATAACAGAGTTGACAGGTTTTTCTGTACATTGATTTTCAGAATTAATATATTTTAAATCTTACAATTTTAAGATCAGTAGCAGATATTAAAAATGTTGAATTTAAAGTGTATTCTATGAAAATAAAGTTTAACAGAAGAAAAACAACCCTGTTTTTTGTTTTCTTTTCTCTATTACTGGAGTGAGTCTGATAGCCCAGTGAACTGATAGCCCAGTCAATCTAACTTATTGTCCTGCTAATAGTGTGTGTGTGTGTGCGTGTGTGTGTGGAGAGACTGGCTGGAACTTCTCCCACCGATACACACCTGTGTGTTTATGCCGAGGTGCATGAAGATGTAATCGAAGATGAGCTCCTGGATGTCAAAGTTCACCACCGCGTCGCGGTCAAACGCGCTCTTGAGGCTCCAGCGCAGAGGCTCGACGCTCGCGATGTCGTTCCCCACGTGCGCGTCACTGCGCGCGGCTCCTCTGACGCGTGCCGCTGCCGCCCTGAACACGAGCCGCGGAGAATCGCACCGCGCCGGACCCACGCTCGCCCAGCCCGCGCGACACTGGAACGAGCCGTTATCCACCACTACCGGCGCCGGACAGGGCTCGAGGCACTCCCGCTCCAGCGCGAACACGGGGTCCGGCGTGCACTTATAATCCTCAAAAGTGTAAACAGTGCGGTTATTATTCATGTTGAACACAGTAAAAGACAACACACACGAGCAGTCAACCCGCTCTTCTTCGTCACCAGTGACGGCTGTTTGTTTTGTGTTCTCTGCTCACTACTGACACCTGGCGTTCGCGGACAGTTCGACTTATATTGTGTCACTCAGAGGTCATTATTTATGTCACATTTTAAAACTACATTTACAGTAAGTAACACCAAAGTAATTAATTGCAGGTTTAATGCAGCCATTGTTTCTAGTTTAATGTGATATAATCATCTTACTATCCGAAGAATAACACTTGTGATGAGCACACTTCATAACCATTGGAACTGACCACCATTGGTCCCTCATGCACTTTTCTGAGTGTATATATAATGAATGTTGAGAAATAATAAATTTAACATATTAACTCTAATTTGGGCCTGCCGCAGATCGCGATGATGACTGGTCCCAGCGCGAGTCCCAACGCCACACTTCAGTCAGCGATCAGCCTACAGTAGGAGATGAGGTGCAAGTAGGCCTAGCTAAACTAACGGCTGTTTTACAATAGAAGTAATCCGTTTGGAAAGACTGTATCAATCAAAGCTCAGCTTTGGGAAGGGGAGATTGACAGATCAAGATAAAGAGGCCGAGAGAGGAAGAAGATAGAGCGGATGAGTATTGCAAAGTGACTGGAATGAGAATAACTTTATTACAATGGATTCATGTGGGCCTAACCATATAACATACTGTGTTCTTTGCCAAAGACTGTGAAAACTAAACTCAATTTAAAGGAGTAGTTCACTTTTGAAAAAACTTTTGCTGATAATTTACTCACCCCCATGTCATCTGAGATGTCCATGTCTTTCTTTCTTCAGTCGAAAAGAAATGAAGGTTTTTGATGAAAACATTCCAGGATTTTCTCCATATAATGGACTTCAATGGGGTCCAAACGGTTCAAGGTCCAAAAGAAACGTTCAGTACAAACTGCAAACTTGTTCAAAGGGCTTTAAACGATTCCAGACAATGAATAAGGGTCTTATCAAGCGAAACGATCGCTCGTTTTATAAATAAATAACAAAGTTTAAGTTTTATAAGCTCAAACGCTCGCCTTGCTCTGTTCTGTAACGCACTCCTGTTCATCAAAATGAACAAATATTTTTCCGAGTCATTTGGTTCATTCGGCGAAAGAAACGAACGAATTGATTCGGAAAAAGATTTGTTCATTTTGTTGAACGAGTTCGAACAGGAGAGTCACGAACGTGCATCACAAAACAGAGCAAGGCGAGCGTTTGATCTTATAAAACTTAAACTTTGTTATTTTTTAAAAAAAATGAGCGATCGTTTCACATGATAAGACCCTTATTTATCGTCTGGAATTGTTTAAAGCCCTTTGAACAGTTTGCAGTTTGTACTGAACGTTTCTTTTGGACCTTGAACCGTTTGGTTCCCATTGAAGTCCATTATATGGAGAAAAATCCTGGAATGTTTTCATCAAAAACCTTAATTTCTTAAAGGACTGTTCACTGTTAGTATCACTGCGCTCGTGTGTGTTTGTGTAACTTATCTTTCAGCCAGCAGGTGGCGACACGTGACTGTCTTTATGAGTGAGCAATTTATCTATTAACAGATTATTTCAAAAACTTTGATTAATTTAGGAAAGAATAAGTAGAAGAGGAGGTATTTCGTTCCCCAGAGGAGATAATCGTGTTGTTCAGAATCAGATCATTGCTGGAAAACACGGCCCAATATTCCCTGTGTTCAGATCATCTGCTAAAGCATCGTTAGTCTTCCTGGAGCAGAACTACACACACTTCTGGAAGCTGCGGTGTCTCCTCATGTCAGTACACTCTCACATCAGGAACAACACACAGAAGACACACACCAGCCAGCCCGTGCCACACACACACATGCACAAAGATAGATCTGTTCTATGACAGGGATGCCAGCTTATACTGATTGATGTACAGATAATTTAAACCCCTTAACTGTCACCGTCCCGGTACCGGGACGCCTAACTTTACTTCACTATATTTCTATTAAATCCTAATCTAATTATGACAAAATATATATTGTTGGAAAGGTCTAAGACTTCTAAATAGATATTCTACCCCTGTTTTGTGTTAAAAATTATGTAGGAAGAGTAATTGATGAATTTATGACAAGAGTGCACCTCAAAAAATCAGCATCATAACAGGAGTTTTGACCTTTGTCACAAAAAGTCGATGCACCCACTTTTAATCATTGAAACTTCTGTTTTTATGCTAAAAGTTCATAATAAACATATAATCTAGTATTGATATGTAATCGAAATTACATAAATTATAGTACAATATTATCCTCTAAAAATGATAATATTTATATTTATTATCCTCTAAAATATAATATTATTTTTATCGCCTTTTTTTATTATGTCACATATTTTAGTAGTTATCATAAATTAGGTATCATTTGAACGCTTATTCATCGTGTGAAAACTGTTTTATAATTGAAAGTTGCGTTACCATAGAAACCAAAACCTTTTCTAATCTTGACAAAACTGATATTGTCAGAAAGGTCAGAGTCTCAAGGTTCCAAATTTTGTGACAGACTTGATATTTGGACAGAAATGTATTAATTTGTTAAGGCAGAATGTATACAACTAAATTCAATGGAATTCAATGGCACCCGGTGGCTATTTTTGGTACTACGCCTAAACAAAATCTCATGGGAACTTCAATTTTTGTGAAATCAACTTCAAATTTGGAACATAACTTGATAAGATGTATGGCTTTGATTTTATAGAAATTTTAAGATAAAAAATATTATATTATATAAAATAAAAAATATATAGTACAGCATATTTAATTTACTGTAAATTTAAACTTCCATAACTTTTTCATACTTTAATTTTTTGACGTGTTTTCACTTCAGCAATATTCTGCTGAGTGTTTTCTTTAAAACAAGACCAAACTTGGGTATATTCCAAAGCATTCTTAAATTACAACCATTTAAGTTTGAATAGTGCATTTTAACCCGCATTCTCAAAAAGGGGGGTGACAGCTAAGGGGTTAAGAAATTAAAGTATACGAAACCTCTCTGATATTACAAAGACTTGCACTTTCTTTCTTCTTATTTTGCGTTTAGGTTTCAGTAAATGAACAAGCAGACGTCTCTGCATCGGGGAATGTTTGAGGTCGATTCTCTGCATCAGTTTCTGCACAAACACCGGCGTGAGAAATGCTCCACTGAACAGAGAGAGTGGGTTTGGCATGACCACAGAGAGGAATGGCAGAATGTAAAGGAAAAATAAAGCAACCACAATGGTGTGAAACTAGGGCATCGCGTTAGCACATACAAATGCAGAATGTTTTCTCAGTGCTCCATGTTAGGAACGGGCGGCTCCTGCACTACAAACACAATTGTCTATATAAGTCTATCTAACAACACACCTGTGTGTATGTGTGTTTGTTTTGAACAGCAGATGTATATTATCCAGCATTATATATCCAGCAGACGTGGCTCTGTTCATGTACAGTTTCTCAGCATCCCTCCTCCTCCTCATATCTTATACGTAAAGCTGTTTCAATTACAGGAGGAAAGGCCTCAACATAATAAAGTATGAAGTTCATATGCAGCAAGCTCCTCCTCAGCGGTTCCTCTGTTCACACACACACACACACACACACACACTAGATACGCCATAAGAGCAGCAGACGTCCACATCAACAGGTACAATATTTTAAGCACACTGTAAAAAAAATATTGATGGTTTAATTTAAAAAAGTAAGAAACCTGGTTGCCTTAAAATTTTAAGTTGATTGAACTGGAAAAAGTGAGTTAATACAATGAAGGAGATTAATTTAATCATCAGAAACTTAAAATTATATGTTATCTGAACTAAATAAATTATTTAAGTTGATTTGACAAAAGAAAAAATGTTCACTGTAAAAAAATATTGTTGGTTTAACTTAAAAAAGTAAGTAACCTGGGTTGCCTTAAAATTTTAAGTTGATTGAACTGGAAAAATTGAGTTAATACAATGAAGGAGATTAATTTAACCATCAGAAACTCAATATTATATGTTATCTGAACTAAATAAATTATTTAAGTTGATTTGACAAAAGAAAACATGTGATTACTACACTGTAAAAAAATATTGTTGGTTTAACTTAAAAAAGTAAGTAACCTGTTTGCCTTAAAATTTTAAGTGCATTGAACTGGAAAAAGTGAGTTAATACAATGAAGGAGATTAATTTAATCATCAGAAACTCAAAATAATCAGTTATCTCAACTAAATAAATTATTATAAAGGTGATTTGACAAAAGAAAAAATGTTGTGATCACAAATCTTGAAAATATTTTTTACAGTGCATTAATTAACATAATGTTTTTTTTACATTTAAATGCCTATAATTATTCAACCCGATCATTACTCTCTGAGACATCATTTAAACTATCTGTTTTACTTATGTGACTGTTCACTCCAGTGATTGATTTAATTGTTACTCATTTATTAATATACTTTGGCTAATAATACTTTACAAGTTTTGGGATTTGTTTGGATATTAGGCTTCTGAAAATACAATCATGCTAAATATTTGTGAGCAATGTAACTTTTATCCTCCGATTTTTCAGAGAGAAGAAACTAAACGCTTCCTTTTACAGTCCAGTTACCCATGTAAATACTATGTACTTATTTTAGTAACTACAATTACTGGGTAATAACTAGTACTAACCCTGAACCTACCCCTGCTCCATGTACTTACCTTATATTAGCAGTACTTTCTAGGTAACTGTAAGTACACTACTGTAAAAGGAAGCGTTACCCATTTATCTTAACTGTTTATCTCAGAAAATCAAATGATTATGCCTTTATATTAGAGTATTATTTCATTTTTACTTTTGTATTAAAATGTAAGCTGATTTAAGCTGAGAAGTCATTTTCTTGTTATATAATATCAGTTTGTCGCTCTGGACAAGGGCATCAGCGAATGCGTCAAAACACTTTATTTTAGAGATTTGTCCAGGTTTTTTTATTTTAAACTTTATTTTATTATCTCCACTTTAGATATTCTACTGACTATAAGCATGTGTGCAACTACAAGTCAACTTATTCTCCCAACCCTATAACCTAACAACTACTAATACTCTAATGAGAGTTAGTTAACATGTAGTTACTTATAGTTACAAAAGTTACTTATAGTTATAGAATGTCTTAAAGTAACCTAATAATTACTTTACTCTCCATGTTAAACTAGTCCTGTCCTAATAGGGTTTATTATACTAACCATCTACTACGGTCTACTAATACTCTAATGAGTTCAGTGTTGGGTGTAACTAATTACTAAGTAATTAGTTACTGTAATTTAATTACTTTTCCCTTGAAAATGTAAAGTAAGGGATTACTCTGAATTTATGTGTAATTTAATTACAGTTACTTCTGATGTAATTGAGGTAAACACTGTGTGTAGATCAATCCGATCTCAGTGTCCAAATCATACGGCCGCACTCGTACAAATTCGTATGAATTATTGTAAAATATGGATGAAAAAAGTGTGAAAAGTCATGAGATCAGACATAAAACAGTGGGTTTAACATCAAAATATATTGTCTGATGCTAAAAAGTATGTTTTTATAATGTAACCTTCTCCACCTTGGTCAGTTTAAGGATAATTCATGCAATTTTATAGTATTTATTTGAAAGAATTAAAACAGATTCATGTCTATCCTTGTATTATTCAGCTGGTTGAGATTGATATGGGATTTTGAAAGTAATTAGTAATTAAAAGTAATTAAATACTTTTTAGAGCGAGTAATTAGTACAGTAATCTAATTGCACTGTTGAAGAGGTAATTAGTAACTAGTAATTAATTACTTTTTTAGAGTAACTTACCCAACACTGAATGAGTTGCAGAGTTACTCATGGTTAGTAGAGTGGCTAAAGCCGACCAAGAGTAACCACACATACTGTCCTGTACATGAGAAGCAGAATGAAGTTAAATGAGTTGTGAACTGCAGGACGAATGGAAACCAGCAAGGTCATCTCGACGGAGAAAGCAACGGTCGTCATCCAAGTAAATCCACATGTGTGTGACGGACAGGAGAACGGAGGAGTGTATCACAACACGGCTCTCTCTGAGTTTCTCAAAGCACAACCAAAGGCACTCGGGGTAAAGCATTTAATGATGAATTATAATTATGTATTTTAGGAATATTTTTAGTATCTCGTTTTCTTCTGAAGTTGTTGTCAAATGTCCTTAAGTTTAAAGATGTGTGTTTGCTTTCTGATTGCTTTCAATGCATAAAACATTAAAGGAGTAGTTCACTTTTGAAAAAAAAACTTTTGCTGATAATTTACTCACCCCGTGTCATCCAAGATGTCCATGTCTTTCTTTCTTCAGTGGAAAAGAAATTAAGGTTTTTGATGAAAACATTCCAGGGTTTCTCCATATAATGGACTTCAATGGGGTCCAAACGGTTCAAGGTCCAAAAGACAGTTTCAGTGCAAACTGTTCAAAGGGCTTTAAACGATTCCAGACGATGAATCAAGCGAAACGAGCGCTCATTTAATAAATAAATAAATAACAAAGTTTAAGTTTTATAAGCTCAAATGCTCGCCTTGATCTGTTCTGTGATGCTCGTTCGTGACTCTCCTGTTCAAACTCGTTCATCAAAATGAACAAATCTTTATTCGAGTCGTTTGGTTCATTCAACGAACGAAATGAACGAAATGACTCGAAAAAAATTCATTCATCGTCTGGAATCGTTTAAAGCCCTTTGAACAGTTTGCACTGAAACTGTCTTTTGGACCTTGAACCGTTTGGACCCCATTGAAGTCCATTATATGGAGAAAATCCTGGAATGTTTTCATCAAAAACCTTAATTTCTTTTCGACTGAAGAAAGAAAGACGTGGACATCTTGGATGACACGGGGGTGAGGAAATTATCAGCAAAACTTTTTTTTAAAAGTGAACTACTCCTTTAATATAGCTTATTTTGTGTGTGTGTGCCAAAACATGAAGGATATGCCATCTTGCAAAAATATAAACACTTGACCCATATCTGCCCTCTCTAGACGGTCCAGATCATGACTGGAGTGATGGTCTTCTTATTTGGTATTGTGCGCACCACCAGCATGCAATATTACCCAGCTCTTTCTGTCTTTAGTGGCATAACCTACTGGGGATCTTTCATTGTAAGTTTATGTGATGGTTTTGCTTCATTGCCTCTGATTTTAATGTCCAGAATGAACTGAAATGTCCCGTTTGTCTCTCAGTACATCAGTGCGGGATCTCTGTCTGTCGCTGCGCAGAGGAAACTTCATCTCTGTGTGGTACGTACATAAACGGCTGTTGCTCACGTTGTTTCTAGGCTATATATACATATGATATTATTCACGTCCATGAGTCATTGCAGTGCTTTCAGTCGCCTGTTCTTTAAAGACTATAGGGTAAAATGGGGCTACGAGGTAAAGGGCCTTTACATAACACAACCCTACAGCATGTTTCAATATACACAATCTATGGCTTCTGAAAACGTAACTTTCTTTGAATAATGAGACATTCATCCTGTAAAGACGTGGAAAGCACATCTGACTTTTAAAAAGGTTATTTAATGAGTGTACACCGTCACTATTCCCCCTTCACATGCCAGCTCTTCTTCCTGCAGGTGAAAGCTTCTCTTATAATGAACGCCATCAGTGCCGTCACCGCAGGACTCGCCATTCTCCTGGTGTCAATAGAGATAGGACTGTTTTCTGATGGAATTTGCAACAATTACAATGAAAGGTCTCCTCGCATCTGCTTATCTTGGAAGGTATTAAATGAACAGTGTGCAATAGAGAGCCTAAGCCCCTCCCCTTCCGGTCGACCGCCATGTGACCTTATTTCGGAAAAATATTGAATAGTCAATGGCGAGAGACAACAAATATTTTGATCTGGTTTGAATTGTGCCCTGAATTACACATATGATGTTTGTCAATTTAAAAGATACATTTTAAAGTAAAGAAAGTCGCAGTTTGATTTGAAACCGTTGAGGTATAAGACTGTGAAAATACGTAATTACAAAGACTACAAACCCCAAAGGCGCACATTTTCTCTCAATGAATGAAGCTAACTTTACTGAGGCTAACGCCTGTCATTGTTTCTACACTGTAAAAAATGTAATCACAACATATTTTCTTTTGTCAAATCAACTTTATAATAATTTATTTAGTTGAGATAACTTATTATTTTGAGTTTCTGATTAAATTAATCTCCTTCATTGTATTAACTCACTTTTTTCCAGTTCAATCAACTTAAAATTTTAAGGCAACCAGGTTTCTTACTTTTTTAAGTTAAACCATCAATATTTTTTTACAGTGTTAGTAATCACATTTTTTCTTTTGTCAAATCAACTTAAATAATTTATTTAGTTCAGATAACATACAATTTTGAGTTTCTGATGATTAAATCAATCTCCTTCATTGTATTAACTCACTTTTTCCAGTTCAATCAACTTAAAATTTTAAGGCAACCAGGTTACTTACTTTTTTAAGTTAAACCATCAATATTTTTTTACAGTGTATAATCTTACGTTATAATCGTACATTACGCCGTCATGCCTGAGTGTTTTGTACCAGACTGCACACACTCGAGCAGCGGATCTCGCTTGTTGTTTCGCTTCCCGGGAGATGTAGTTCATTAAGCGATTTTCACATAAAACTAAATGTTACTCTTCTGTTTTATGACAAACTGCGACGTTTTTGACTTTCAGAATTATCTTTTAAATTGACAAACATCATAAGTGTAATTGCGGGCACAGTTCAGACGGAATAAAAAGATAAGTTGTCTCTCGCCATTGACTACCATTCATATTTTTTCCGAAATAAGGTCCCATAAGTTGGAAGCGGAGGGGCGGGACTTAGGCTCTCTATACTATTTTAATGTTATCTGAATGATGACATTTAAAAAATGACAAATATATCATCATTTACTATTTGAAAATAATTTGTACTAATAAAGATTGTGCTGGTCAATGTTTTTCACATGCAATTGCAATGACTAGCCACTGGAAATGTTATGCTTCAAAATGACATCATAAAAGTATTATAAAAACTACAAATTGGTCCATGCAACTTCCATGTTACATGCCTTCATATATGTAGTATTTATATAAAATTCAGTCAATATGATTTGTGAAACATCTTTCATATGATCATGTTGAATATTTTGTAGAGATATGATCTGGGGGTCAATGGGATATTGCTGGTGTTCTCCGTCCTCCAGTTCATCATCTCCATCTGTATGTCAGCGTTCGCCTGCAAAGCCTCCAGCGACTATGACTCTACAGTGGTTCATGTGGCGCTCACTGGGTAATGCCTCATTGTAAACTACATCCTTTTCATATTGCTAGATTGTTGAAGTGGGTCAGAGTAGTGTTTTCACTTCGGTAATTTCATGATGTCTTGGTTACAGTTTCATTTCCATGGTTTTAGTTTCCTGATTTTCTTAATTACGGTTCCCTAGTCGAGAAGCAATGGTCACTACTGTGTCTTGTTTAGTTCCCGCTATTTGAGTGGATTTCAGCCCTTCATTGTCTGTAGTTAGAAGCGGTCCATTTATTAATATCTGCTGGATTACTGATTTTGTTTTGTTTAAAAAAGTAAGAATCTGCAGATCCCTGCCCTTGCTGGACACCATGTGACCGTTATTGTGTTATCTCAGTCCGTGTGGATCTCATTGGCAAAACTGATATTAAGTGTGAATGTTTGTAACATATCTTGTCTGTTTCTTCTCAGGGATACTATGTCACAGTAAGGAGATCCAACCAAGGTTGCAGAAATTACAGTCTCAAGTGTAAGACTGGTTTTCAGAAGACGGGATCAAACCCCTGCAATAAGACAATACAACTCAGTAATCTGGAGAGAAGACCTCGAAGACGTCGACTTCATCTCTGCAAACCCCTCCGGTCCATCAGATTAAGCGGGGCACTAAAATAAAAATAAAACTAAATTTTACTCAATTAAGTGAACCTCACAGAAGCACTGAAAAGACCTACACACATTATACCTTCACCCACCCGTTGGATTGTGTCGTTGGGCCGACGGGTGATCGTAACATTCAACTGAATACAAGAGAATTGACAAATGAACATCAAATAATATGTATGAGTCAAATGTCTCTGTAAACAAAGACATTTTTGTTTGTCTGGTGTTTTAACTGTCTAAATTAATCCCGGGTTCAATGAACAAGAAGTTGTCCCTGTGCATGAAAAGAAAACATCATTAAAGTTTGTGGTCTAGATAATTATGTGAATATTTGAGTGATGATTGAGCATTATTGAAGACACCTGATGTTAATAAGCAGAATCACTGGAGGAGAAAAACAGATTTTTAAAGGATAATTCCGGTATTTAACACCTTGAGTCTATTTTGTAGTTTTTGTAGGAATTATCCTTTAAGTCACCATTATGGTGACCGTTGTTTGTTTTTGTTTGGCTCTTGCCCATTAAATAATTTACTTTAGATATTGTTTGGCTGCTGATCCTGAGTTATAGAAGCCAGATGAGCAAATAGACAAGGTGATCTGATGGTGCTGGTATAACATAATCGATATTTCATCATTTGACCTGAATCACTGAACTCATATGAAGATCAATTTCTGAGTTAGGTTTACTTCATTAATTATAGCAGCACTGTCCTTGTACAACATAATGTTTTTAACTTTGACAATGTAATCCATATAATGTCTTAAAAGATTTGCTTATATAAAAAAACTATAGTTTTTTTTAGAAAAATTTTGGGGTTTTTTAGACAGAGATCAAGAATCAGCCTGTGTATCTCAACAATGGTGACAATTATAAAGCATGTTGCAGTGCATTCTGGGTGCCACCAATCTAATAATAATTAGCTTGTCACCATTGTTGAGATTCATATGCTAATTATTGATGTCTGTGTGTGCCTATAAGATGTTATTTAGACGTTTTTGTTTTTTCTAATTGATTCAATAATTTGGATTTAATTGAAAATGATAAAAATAGTATGCTTTACACTGTAAAAATAAAAACGACTGAATCTGTTAAATCTAATCAATAAAATTGAGGCAACAGATTACAATCAATATTATTAATTAAATTTAACAAATTAGAATGGAGTAATAATTAACCAAACAAATTAATTAAAAGTTAACCATTTAAATTGAGTAAAATGTACACATTTTTCTAAACAAAAATATCGGAATAACAGACTGACGTCAAAGATGAATTAAGACCTCTTTTTTTTTTATTGCCATCATTGAAGACACCTGATGATAACAAGCAGAATCACCGAAGAAGAAAAACGAGATTTTTAAGTCACCATTATAGAGATCAGTGTGTGTTTTAGTTGGGCTCTTGACACTTAAATTAATAACTTTAGATGTTGTTTGGCTGTTATGCATGAATTATAATAGCCTGACGAACAAATAGAAAAGGTGATCTGATGGTGTTGGTTGTGTTTTACCATAATCATCATTTCTCAATCATTTGACCTGATCTATGAACTCACATAGAGTTCAGTTTAGGTTTACTTAATTAATTGTAGCAGCAATGTCCTTGAACAGTATAATATTTTTATGATTTTTACAAGGTAATCCATAGATTTTTTTTATAACGTATATCAAATACAAAAAACAACTTTGCTCTGATTTAGTTTTTAGACACACAGAGATCTAGAATTAGCCTGTGAATCTCAACATTGGTGACAATAATAGCGCATGTTGTAGTGCATTCTAGGTGCCACCAATCAAAACTCATTCATGGCTCCCATCATGCATTGCTGCATGAATAAATAATGAGCTTATGATCAGAGGTGATCTGTTTGTCACCACTGCTGAGATTAATACGCTAATTCTTGATGTCTGTTTGTGCCTCCATGAAATAACTTCTGAAGTTATCTTTTTATTGTTTTGATCATTTAGTTTCATTGAAAATGCTAAAAAAATATGATGCTGTCCAAGGCCAATGATGTTGTAATTAATAAAATAAACCTTAGTCAGAAACTGGGCTCTATATGAGTTCATCGATCAGGTCAAATGATTGAGAAATGATGATTATGAACACAACCAACACCATCAGATCACCTTTTCTGTTTGTTCATCTGGCTATTATAATTCACGTATAACAGCCAAACAACATCTAAAGTTTATAATTTAAGGGTCAAGAGCCCAACTAAAACACACACTGATCTCTATAATGGTGACTTAAAAATCTCGGTTTTCTTCTTCGGTGATTCTGCTTGTTATCATCCGGTGTCTTCAATGATAGCAATAAAAAAAGAGGTCTTAATTCATCTTTGACGTCAATCTGTTATTCCGATATTTTTGTTTAGAAAAATTTGTAAATTTTACTCAATTTAAATGGTTAACTTTTAATTAATTTGTTTGGTTAATTATTACTCCATTCTAATTTGTTACATTTAATTAATAATATTGATTGTAATCTGATGCCTCAATTTTATTGATTCGATTTAACAGATTCAGTCGTTTTCATTTTTACAGTGTACATTGACAGTGCTGCTATAATCCATGAAGTAAATTTAACTCAGAAATTATGCTCTCAATGAGTTCAGAGATTCAGGTCTAACGATTATGTTCAAACACAGCCAACAGCATCAGATCACCTTGTCTATTTGCTCATCTGGCTGTTATAACTCAGGAACAGTAGCCAAACAATATCTAAAGTAAATTATTTAATGGGCAAGAGCCAAACAAAAACAAACACCGGTCACCATAATGGTGACTAAAATCAGGTTTTCTCCTTCAGTCATTCTGCTTGTTATCATCAGGTGTCTTCAATAATGCTCAATCATCACTCAAATATTCACTTAATTATCTCATTAACTTTAACACTGCTTCAGTGTCCATTTAATACTCTGCCCAGACTTGATATAATCCACAAGGATTTTGCTGTGTACGTTACTGCAGTCTGATCAACCTCAGCATTTCCCACAGTTCTGTTAACAAGAGCAACGTTAGCTGAATGGAAAGGAAATAAAGCAACCACAACCTTTCACTTCAGTGTGAAACTAGGGCATAGCACTACAGTTGTTCAAAACAAGACATCTACATAATTCACTATGACATTTCTGTGGTTGAATGCAAACTAAATTGTTCAGGGAAATTATAATAATTATGTGGGCGAAATGTAAAAATGGTTATCAGTTCATCTTAACCTAATAAGAAATAAATATATATGTTTAGAAATGCCTCAGTGCTCCAGTGTCCTTCTCGTTTGTGTTACACTCATCACTCAGGATACTGTAATATCAAAGATAGATTAGGATTAAACACCGTGTGTTTTAAACACCGACAGCTGGTGCTTTTGTTTGATCTCAACAAATGGCTAATTTGCGCAACTTTTAATTTTGATCTTTAAGTAAAGCCCTTTGAATTCCAGGAGGAAAAGCCTCAACGTTATAAACTATATGAAGTTCATATGCAGCAAGCTCCTCCTCAGCGATTCCTCTGTTCACACACACACACACACACACACTATACGCCATAAGAGCAGCAGACGTCCACGTCAACAACTCATTTCAGGTACCATATTTCAAGCATCAATTAACATTTATGATTTCTTTTTTTATATACACTTTGATATACACTAATTAAAAATAACCATCATCTTTTTTCATCCTTCACAGCAGTTTTAGTGCATGTTGTACTCATTTACGGTTGTTCTTTGGGGTTCCTATTTATATTATGTGTCTTTAACAAGAATTGCATTAAAATTGGTCAGGTAAAGTACAATATGCTTATTGTGTTCGTGTTGTATCGCAAAACACTTTTGCTGTTATTAAGTTGGGACACAGCACAGGTATATGTTATGGACAGGTTTGATGGTCTGATTATAGGTTTCAGAAATAAGGGAAAGGTTAACCGTATAATTGTAGGTGTAATTACAGAAATTAACTACAGCTGTTAGAAACAACAACAACGTAAAACATATATGTACACAATAAGCGCACTGTAATACATTATAGTTTAAATGATATTAGATTTAAACATTAAATGGATAGTTCACCCAAAAAATTCAAATTAGCCCATGATTTACCCAACCTCAATTCCTCCTAGCTCTATATGACATCAGACGAATACAATCTGAGTTATATTAAAAAAAACTGTTCTGGCTCTTCCAAGCAAAATAATGGGAGTCAATGGGTATATTTTTTTGGAAGTCCATCAAAGCGCACATTAATCCATGATAAAACTGCACCACACAGAATTTTTTAAAGATTAAAGACTAAACTAAAAACTAAACTAACTATCTAAAATATATGATGGATTTCTGCTGTCGATATGGGTCCAAGTAACCAAGAAATAATACACATTACTCTTTTACAGCTAGGGAGAGCATGGCTTTTGACTTTCTCAGTTTGGTTTGTGGATAATTCACGCTATTTATTTTTCCCCACATTAAACACCACTTGTATGTTTTTTCTTCATTAATGCAGTGCGTACTTTTTTCTTTCTTTACCCAAAAAGATTGGAAGTGAATGTGACAACATGCCCCATATAGGTGGGGTATATTATATTGTAACATTTCAGCTTAAAATTTGATCTGATCTAATACAAATATATATGAGACAAACAATGTATTTTGTAAATAAAAAAAGATAATAAAACATAATTATTCAAAATTTAGAATTTCATAACTTACACACCTCAAAACACAGCTAAACAGCAAAGTTTAAAACATAATAATTATAATAATAATTAATAATTTCTGATCATTGATTGATTATCTGTCTTTATTCACTTCTTTCTCAATAGAATTCATAAAAGTTGTTCATTGGAATTTGTTAGATGACAATTAAAGACCTTTCTAAACTGCTAAAAACAGATCAGATGTTAAAATAATATCAAATGTGTCTCATTTTAAATAAACACAAAAAACAGTAAAACACAAAAGTATACTTTTTATTATTAAATGAATTAAATTTATTATTCATAAATTATTATTTAATTAAATGTACTTTTGCTATGTTTAAAAAAATGTACAGAGATATCTTAAAAATTTTTGGCACAATTTTTTCTCTATATAGTGTTGATATGGCAACTAGTAAATTGTCTACGATTGGTCATATGTGGAAACTACAGTGTTTATAACCAGCCCCTCATTAGGTTGTGCCACGCTCACCGCTATTACTGACATTGTAATAACACATTGCTCACATAAAACAACTCATAAAATGTGCATACTTGTACTTTAATTACAGGGGAAATCCAACACTTAGCTTGAATGGAAACCAGCAAGGTCATCTCGATGGACAAAGCCACGGTTGTCATCCAAGTAAACCCACAGGTGGCACAACATACTGTTATATGTGAAGATGGACAGGAGAACGGAGGAGTGTATCACACATTTCTCAAAGCACAACCAAAGGCACTGGGGGTAATGCATTCAATGATGAATTTGGAGAGTAAATAACAATATATTATGGTGACAATATAATGTGTTATACCTATCTTCATTTATGTTGCGGTATGTAATTATATCAGCGTACCACATTAGAGAGATTAAGAAACATGAAAAAGAGAAAAGATGCCGCTCTCAGACAGAAAGCAATCCCAAATTCAGTTCTCTTTCACGTCTTATTACTTTAATGGTCACAAACACACATAATTCTGTTAAAATGCCCATCGTGTGGAGTATTTATATAAAGGTAAACAGTTGAGTGACATTAAATCCATGCAGTACGTCTTAATGTGACTTATAAAACGGATAGTTCCAATCCTTGATTCTGATTGGTCAATAGCTGTGCTTTATTCATGATCTAACACGGCTATGACCGCTTCACCCAACGGCTCTATGTATCACTGCGGTTTCTATGTCGTGTTTATTTGAGCTTTCATTATTACCCATTGGAGCGTTGTTGCTGTTCCCGGTCAGGGACTATTTTCTTCTAGCGGAAGGAAGGCTTTTAGTGATTTTACTTCATGAAAGAGGCACTTATTCATTTTTTTTTTTTTTTTACTTTAATATTTTTATTGTGCGGTAACCGTTTTATAAAAGCAAAAAGGTACTCGAGGCAAGTGCTGTATGGTGAATAATAACGGGTTCGCGTCGAGCCTAACAATGCCCTTTAGCCGTTATTCACGATACAGCACAGCCTCTCGTACCTTACTGCTTACTAATACACCTGAACAGCATTAATAGCTCTCTCTCTGTTTATGTGTGTGTCCAAACATGAAATATAACATGACAAAAATATAATATGGGAACATATAAACACTTGACCCATATCTGCCCTCTCTAGACGGTCCAGATCATGACTGGAGTGATGGTCTTCTTATTTGGTATTGTGCGCACCGCCGATGTCTTCAATTTCCCTGCTGTTTCCTTGTTTAGTGGCATAACCTACTGGGGATCCCTTGTCGTAAGTTTTATTTAATGGTTTTGCTTCATTGTCTTTCATTTTAATTTCCAGAATGAACTCTGAAATGTCCTTTGTTTCTTTCTCAGAACATCAGTGCTGGAGCTCTGTCTGTTGCGGCGCAGAGTAAACCTAGTCCGTGTGTGGTACGTTCATGATAACCAGCCTCAAAAAGTTGTGGTTTTAGAAAGCTTGTTTGGTACGATGCGGAGCGGACAACGCATTTCAATTATGCAGTGTTTACCGCTCCCTATTCCTAGACCACAGGACATCTGTTGAATTGTACTCGACTTAACAAAATGCATTTTAAAGAAATTTAAGGTTTGATGACATCTGCTAACCCAGACAGCAAACTGACATTGAATCAACGTGGAAACGACGTCTCTCATGACATCGAAACAACGTTGAACCAACGTCAGACGCGGCATTCTTCAAAGCTAAATGAAAATCGAAAATTGGTTTGCTTTCATAACGTTGAAACAACGTTGATTTCAAGTTGATTTTCCGTTAGTTTTGAAAGAATGACGCGTCTGACGTTGGTTCAACGTTAATTCGATGAGCAAAACAATGTCAGATCAACGTTGTTTCGATGTCATGTTTCCACGTTGACGCAATGTCAATTTGCTATCTGGGGATATATGTAAGGAATATTTCACCAAAGGTGCTGTATTGTGTTTACTGAGTTTTAGGGTTGAACAGTAAACAACTTTAGGTTCTGGGAACGTTTTGGAAACATTAGTTTTTGGTTCCCAGAACGTTCTTAGAACTTTCCCTTAAAGTCCCCGTGAACCGGAAATTGCAAACGATTTTTCTCCAGTGCTGTGACGTATTTCCAAGTGAAACGGAATATTGAACAGAGGGCAGGGTTTGACTCTAGCGCTCCACCTCTCCATCTCTCGCTCATAGCAAACTAACGGTTTGAGGGGAGTGGTTAAGCGTTTCCCCACCCAAACTGTGAAACCTACGTCATCAGAAAAAGAAACCGTTCCAGACCGGAAGTAACTTTTTAGATTTTAAAGATTACCAAGGTAAAACATTTTTTTAATATATTTTTACGTGCACGGATTAATTGTTCACCACAAGACTAGTAATATGCGCTAACAAAGTAAATAGGTTCAATTTTGATTTCACGGGGACTTTAAGGTTAAGGGAACGTTCCCGGAACATTCTCCTTACGTTATAAAAATTGAACCTAAAAATAACCTATTTGTAACATTCCTATAACGTTCTTGTTTGGTTCCCAAAAAAATAACCTCATGGGACCATTCGGGAACGTTAGGGGAACGTTCTGTGTTTGCTGGGAAGTTGGCCCACCGTTACTCAGGCGCACAAACACACACTCGTCTGACATATATAGAGGTTTAACAAAGCAATTTACATTTTAGATCATAACTTTAGGCTAGAAAATGTCTCAGGTTACGAATGTAACCATGGTTCCCTGAGAAGGGGAATGAGACATTGTGTCTTGGATCAGCACTATGGGGAACGCCATCAATGTGTCTGGTGTCTGAAGCATGTGTATACACACGACAATATCATTGGCCTGATACAAAATTATAAAGCTTCTGCAGGAGAGCATAAAAGTTAACCGCCTCTGGCACTGACTACAGCTTTGACAAGAACCAAATTCAAACAAAGTGCATTACAAGGGCACAAAATGAGAATCTTGCACTGTTTTTAATCGATGCACACCGATAGCCTTGCCCCACAATAATATTCCTGTAGTCCTGGCCTGTTTTTCAAGGCCATGTATTATCATGTGTGAGGCCTGCTGCATCTAAGCTTTCAGCTGACTCAAAGTGTTTTGTGGATGGCCCCATTGTAATAGTACCTCACAATTAAAGAGATCTGTCCTTTTAATCTTTGGTTTCATCTACAATCACACAAACTTCACTTTCTCTAACTTCTCTGATTATTTCCTTTTGTACCATCAGCTAAGCCATCAAGAACTCATTCCCAAATGTATTAAAGGAGTAGTTCACTTTTAAAAAACCTTTTGCTGATAATTTACTCACCATGTCATCCAAGATGTCCACGTCTTTCTTTCTTCAGTCGAAGAGAAATCAAGGTTTTTGATGAAAACATTCCAGGATTTTCTCCATATAATGCACACTACTGGTTTTACTGCGTCACAGAACAGAGCAAGGCGACCAATTGAGCTTATAAAACTTAAACTTTGTTATTTATTTATTAAAAGAGCGATCGTTTCGCTTGATAAGACCCATATTCATCGTCTGGTGTCGTTTAAAGCCCTTTGAACATTTTGCACTGAAACTCTCATTTGGACCTTGAACCGTTTGGTTCCCATTGAAGTCCATTATATGGAGAAAATCCTGGAATGTTTTCATCAAAAACCTTAATTTCTTTTCGACTGAAGTAAGAAAGACATGGACATCTTGGATGACACGAGGGTGAGTAAATTATCAGCAATAGTTTTTTTAAAGGGAACTACTCCTTTAAGCCTTTCCTTAATGAAAGGAAGATTTGCTAAATCTTCTAAGATTGTCAAAAAATCTCTGATAAGATAAAAATAAGATTCTCGATGACCTCTCTGTGTTATATTTTGAGTGGCAGTTAATAGCACATTGGTAATTGTTTTAATGTAATGTATGGTTTACCTCCACTTTCTTTCTTTTTTCTTGTTTTCACACGTAGTGAATAGGCTACATACTCACATTGACTCACAATCCATTTGATTTTTCATGCATTTTGTCATTACAAACTGTCCAAATAGCACTTCTTTCACAAAATATAATATCACATTGATGGTTTAATCGTTAATCGCAGGTAGCTTGACTATGATTAAATTTTTTATCACTTAGAAGTGAGAATAGGTTTCCATATATATCTGCATGCATATGATGGGATCATAAAAAGTCCAAATTCTTAGAGATGCAAAGCCTTTTAGACTCATTGAACTCCATTGGTGGATTTACATAAACAGAGCAAAAGGCTACCAGAATTATTTCCATGGTAAACTCTGTAACTAGCACATCTTGTTATTGTTGGACAGATTGAGCTTTATACTCGCAATATATACCAGTCAAAATACAAAGAGTGCAAACTGTGTGGCTTTTGCTTCTCTACACATTATTCTAAGTATTCTTGGTTCAATAAAACAATTATTCTTTATCACCAGATCAAAACAATGTAAAACCTGAGCAGACAACATTTTACGTTTTTATGTCTATGCCATTACTACTCTTTCATGTAATTTTTCAAGTTTCCTCTTTTCGTCCTGTATACTGTAGATGAACTCCTCTCTCGTCATGAATGTGCTCAGTGCCGTCACGGCAGGGCTCGCCGTTCTTCTCATATCGCTGGAGATAGGACTCGGCTCAGAGACCAGCAAGTATCAAAGCTGTCCCACAACCTACGGCCGAACTGAAGGCATTCTGTGTTTAAAGTTCGAGGTACTAATTTACATCAACCAAATCAAGAAAAGATGGGACATCTTGTAAAACACAATAAAATCAAGAATCTGTGATTTTGTTCATTCTCTTCAACGAGACAAAAGTAAAAGAAAAGTTTTCAATGACCAACACATTTTTACTTTAATGGCAGCAACACACTCCAGAAAACAGGCATTATAATGCTACGTTCACACCGGACGCGAATAGCGCGTTAGGCGCGAATGATTTCAATCGTAACGGTGCGGATCCACTTGTCCGTGCTGCGCTCCACTTTAAGGCCAATTTATACTTCTGCGTCGAGGGTACGCCGTAGTGTACGGCGTTGGCTACGCACGTAGGCGACGCCGTTGTGAGCATTTATACTTCTGCGTTTATGTCTTGGCTGCTCTGCAGTACTGCTCCGAAACGCTAGTTGGCGGCGGAGAGTTTTAATGTTCCACTGTGTTTAGATTCCTCGCAGCTAGGTTACTACAAGCAATAGCGAGTGAAAGAGAGCTGATCATGTTGGAGTTGGAAAAACAGTTCACTTTAGTGAAATTACTAAAACTGAAAGGCAGAAATGAGAGAAGACTTTGGAGGAGATGGTACGTCTGGAAATCATAGACAGTGGTGGAAATGCGTGAGAAATGAGATGCTACTAAGCCGACCAATCACCGATCTTGCGGTCCGCGTCGTCGCGATGTGTAGTTACATTTTTGAAGAGGTGCGCGTCAGGTGACGGCGAAGGGTACGCGGTATGGGACGCGTCTGTGCGTATGCTACGGCGTACCTACTGCGCGCACCCTACGCAGAAGTATAAATTGCCCTTTATTCCTATGGTTGACGTCACGCGACTTTAATGCGCCCGCAAAGCATCCCGGGAAAGCGGCGCTTCATTTGGAAAAATGCTGCGCGTCAAAAAGCTGGCTGATGCCCATCTCTATGCAAATGAATTCCGTTGAACGTGCCGGGACTATCCAATAGAAGTAGAGCATATGGAGACGGGGGGTAGTCTCTCGCAGGTCCTCTGTTCTAGACTGGCCGCTGGCTCAAAACCACGACCATAGCGGTAAACTTGAGGAACGCCCATCAAAGTACAAATGTGGGGAGGCGTCGCGACAACACGCGAATGTCGTGTCGGACAAGTGGATCTCTACCGTCAGTCAATGCAAAGACGCCTTACGTGCGTAAAAAATTCCTGCGGCGCGAATGAGGCGTGGAGCGCAGAAGACGCGAATACGTCTCATTTGCGTGTCAAGTTCGCGCGAATTGAGCGTCTGGTGCGTTAAACGCGTTAAGCGCGAATGATTTAGTTAGTGCCATTTGTGCATTCATGCGTTTGACGTGAATTCGCGTCTGCCGCCCGAGTTGAAAAATCTGAACTTTGGCGTGAATTCGCGCCGCGTTGACCAATCAGGAGCCTAGCTGCTTGCTCATGTGGTGAAGTGTCTGGATGCTTCAATAAATTATTTTGTAATATGGTGTCCTAGATAGCAAACTGACATTGAATCAACGTGGAAATATGACATAGAAACAACGTTGATCTGACATTGTTTTGCTCATCGAATTAACGTTGAACCAACGTCAGACGCGTCATTCTTTCAAAACTAACGCAAAATCAACTTGAAATCAACGCGTTGTTTCAACGTTATGAATGCAAACCAATTTTTCGATTTTCATTTAGCTTTGAAGAATTCTGCGTCTGACGTTGGTTCAACGTTAATTCGATGAGCAAAATCAACGTTGTTTCAATGTCATGAGAGACGTCGTTTCCACGTTGATTCAATGTCAGTTTGCTGTCTGGGAACATATTACTTGAAAAGCGCTAAACAAATAAACGTATTACTTGATGGCAACAAACTGCTTTTATCAAGTTATCGTGAGAACATATTTAGATCAGGCATACTATGGGGTCCTAAGGTGGGACCCATCTCTTCAGGAGGACTCATCTCTTCACCACACTGGGTCGAAAAAGTAAAAAGTCTCACGTGAGAACTCTAGCACGTGTGGTGTCGCGTTGTTTCCTTGTCTCATCTCACGTGTGTTTGTTGTGAAACGTAGTTTGCGCGCAGCGTGCTAGACGGAGTTGTCGGCGATTCTATTCTATTCTATTTGTCACCAATCCATCATGCGGTGTGATGAATGCTGGCCAAGTTAGTCATGCAGTGTGAAAAGAACAGCGACCCGAATACTTTGAAAATCGCGCAGTCTGAACTCGGCATTAGGGAGTGTTGCGATTCATGCTTTTCAGGACTTGTACCCGAGTGCCATGCATTATTTTTCATAATTTTGTATTTTTGTAGAGATATGATCTGGGGATCCTTGGGATATTGCTGGTGTTCTCCATCCTCCAGTTCATCATCTCCATCTGTATCTCAGCGTTCGCCTGCAAAGCCTCCAGCAACAGCGGCTCTACAGTGGTTCATGTGGCGCTCACTGGGTAATGATGACGAGGTTAATCTAGCAGATTATATAATAACCACAACATGTTACGTGGACTGCCTTTAATCTCACTGGTCTGGAGCTGGGACATGCTACTTAATAGTCTAAACTATCTTTAGTCTTCTAATGTTGATGGTTAATAGATCATTCATAATTTACTCCTAATTAATATGTTAGCAAAATGATATAAAAACTACAATTCAATCATATCATGCTTCACTGTAAACCCCAGCCTTGTTTCTACTTGTAGACCATTGAAGTAGCTGACCCTGGGCTTTTCTCTTTGGTTTTGTGTCACTGTATCGCCACTAATATAGTCATTGGTCTTGTCTGTTACTTACCAGGGATACTGAGTCCCAGTGAGGAGATCCAACTGTCCAAAGGTTGCAAGGATTGAATCTCTCATATTATTGCTGACTCAAGCTAGGTCATGTGACACTGAAGACTGGAGTAATGATGCTGAGCATTCAGCTTTCATCACAGGAATAAAATACACTTTACTATATATTTAAATAGAAAATATTTTTTAAAAATCTATTTTTTTTTAAATATCACTGTTTTTGCTGTCAAATAACTTGGTTAATCAATAAAACATTTGGATGTCCACAATTGTTTTCAATGAGATCAGAAAAATATTTAACCAATTTCTAGTAATCAAATAACAGTCCCTTAGAAATCACTAATGACACCCGGACAGGGACAGACTGACTATCTGTGTGTTCACGTCGGCACACAAGAAGTCTAATTAAGCAATATGAACAGCCAACAGCAGGTGTCAGCAGAAACATGTGTCTTGGTCATAAATTTTTTAAAAAAAATAAATAAAAGAGAGAATATATTTTCCATTTTATTTATTTTATAAATGCATTTATTAATAGCACAGATTTTTTTTATTTGCTGGACCAGCTTCCAGAAGAGATCAGGTGTGCTCCTACAGTAGTCACATTCAAATCCAGACTCAAAACACATCTGTTTAGCTGTGCATTTACTGAATGAGCACTGTGCCACTGTTCATCCGACTGTTACTGCACTTCATTTTATTCTAAATGGTTTTAATTTACTGTATTTTATTTCTATCATAATTTTTATTTTTCATTATTTCTTATTTTTTATTCTAAACTGTTTTAATTATTCTGATTTCTTTTGATTATTTTAATTTCTTTTATGTAAAGCACTTTGAATTAACATCGTGTATGAAATGTGCTATATAAATAAACTTGCCTTGCCTTGCCTTATTTGTTTATTAATAGTTTTTTTTTGTTCCTATAGTTTACACAAAGAAAACAAAGCAAATGTCCTATCTGTATCTGTATTTTATTTTCAGAGTTTTTAGAATTACGCATTATGGTTTTGATTTACCTTTTTTATTTTCCACACAAAATTGTTTCAGGAACAATCAGTAAAAGCTTCACTTTATGAATGCAATAAGCTTTTTCAAATACTGGGTACAAAAAGATTCAATTATTCCACTCGCCCTTCAACATGTGTACATAAAGGGACATTTAAAAGTGCAAAAGCATTAATAAATGACTTCAACAGACAACAAATAAGCCCACAAGCTTGATTATTCCCACAAAAATATTACTGATGCGTAAATATCACTGTAGTAATATAAGTCTGTATTATGTAGCCTAACGAGTGTTGCCTAATCAAAAATGTTCATTAATGGGAAGATTGAGCTATTTCCATAATTTTGACAGACAGCAAATATTATATTGATCTGCTTTAAAAGCTTTCCAGTATTAAAGAGATTAGAAGATAAAAGCAGAGACGAGTCCATTTTACAGCATCCGTGTGGAAAACCTGCAACAGGCGGAAGGATTTATGGAGAAAAACCAACGCAAATATTTGTTGTCTTTTTTTTCATATGTAACTGCGGAATACAAATGAAAAAATAATAATAATAATAATCAGGAGGAATAGAATGATTTGATATTTGCACTGTAAAAAAACAATTGTAATTTTAACAGTAAAAATGCAACAGTGCAAAACTGTTAATTGGTTAACAGAAAGTTTACGTATATAGGCTACTATATACGGTAAATAACTGTGATAGATCTCAGGGCACATTTAAAGTAATTTTACCATAAAATACCGTTAAATTTACAGTTTTTGAAAGTGAAAAAGAACAACGCATTGTATAATTTACAGTGAATAACTGTAAATTGACATTCCCACAATTCCCCAATTTCCTCGTAGTTTTCTTGGTTTTTAAATGATCGTTTATTGCATTTTTTAATCATGTGTGTTACCATGATGGTGTTTAATGTTTGTGTGAATGACACTGAGTATTAACCTTCTTATGGAAGAGCTGTGATTGATCATGTTTGCTGTGATGACTGTTGGTTGTCAGTGTAATGCAATGGTACAACACAGATATCATGTTCATAAAGAGCTTTTGAACCCATGTAAGGTAATGGCCTGTCAGGTTTGAGTGTGTGTGTGGTCCTGGATCTTTCACAGCAGGTGTAGTGTATGTGATGTGACACACAGTGCTCTCACCTGCGGTTTGAGACGTCTTTCATCATTCGTTGAGTTGAACATCTGCTTCAGCTCAGAGCTCAGTGGCAGGATAGTCTGGGCTTTTGTCCCGTATCCGGAGTCATTATTCCTGGAACAGATGAGGAGATCGGATCTGCAACATGATGAGAGACACGATCAGCCCTCACACCATTCACTATAGAGGAGGCCTGAATCTGCCCATTCATATATATTTTATTTATGTGTATTTATTTCTACACCAAAGCACATGACAATAGAGACCCCAGAAGAACAATATCCACAATTCTTAAGATGAAAACAAAAATATTGTAGATGAATATGATTACACTCTGTCACTGACGGGATATATTTAAAATAAATGTTGGCTATTTTTTACAGCTAACGGCTATTATATAAAGTAGTTTACTATAATCTGCCGGTTACAGGGCGGATCCTTAGGGAAACACACATTTTCAGCCCATTCTCACCCCCAAGGCATCACCTGACTGACGCCTTGGGAAGCATTTGACCATGCTTCTGACGCTTTTGGCGCCCTTTAGCGTCAGACAGATGACGCCCTAGGATCGCGTGTAACCCTACCCTTACCCCAGACCTAAACCTAACCGCGTGCTTTCCTTTAGCGTCAGTTATATGACGCCGTAGGATCGCGTCATGTAACCAGGGGTTAAAGGATTAGTTCACTTTTGAAAAAACTTTTGCTGATAATTTACTCACCCCCATGTCATCCAAGATGTCCATGTCTTTCTGTCCTCAGTCGAAAAGAAATTAAGGTTTTTGATGAAAACATTCAGGATTTTTCTCCATATAATGGACTTCAATGGGAACCGGATGGTTCAAGGTCCAAAAGACAGTTAATAACAGTTTCAGATGCAGCTTCAAATGTCTTTAAACGATATCAGACGATGAATAAGGGTCTTATCATGTGAAACGATCGCTTATTTCAAAGCTTATTCCAAAAATGTAACTTTTCTAAGGACAAATGCTAACCTTGCTCTATTCTGTGAGGCGCGTTTGTAACGTCACGTAATTACGTTCAAAAGGTCACGGGCGACGTAGCCGGAAGTACAGAATCAAAATCGTCCGAGGAAACAATTTTCCTAAAAAAAAGTGTTGATCCACCTTAATATTCTGTACTTGAGCTGAATAGTAATGAGAAACCTCAGTGGAGAGCATTGGATAAACCACTGTTGACAGAGAACTGGGTTGATGTGAAATGGACAACACTTTGGAGTCATTGCCACCAATGTTTCTGTTTTAAACCCTGAAGTTGTGTCACGAATCACACACAGGACGACAGAAAATCCAATTTGCAATAGTTTGATGGGGACAATCCAAAACATAGACAGGCAGGCAGGGGTCAAATCCAAATAACCAAAGCAGTCCAGAAACAAGAAACAAAACATGAACAGACAAGAAACCAACCAGAAAGAGTGAGGACATCTAACAACAACGTACCGACAGGGTATATACACAATGTGATGGGAAACAGCTGATGCAATGAATTGATGAGTGACAGACAGAATCCTGGGAAATGAAGTCAAATGTGAGAATGAGGACCTATAGTGACAACCCAAGGAAACACAACCAGACTCTGTGACAAGTTGCTTCTGATAGTCTCTTTTTGTTCGTTTGGTGTTTGTTTTTCGATTGAAACCTTTATTTGATGCTTCAAAACATATTTGAGCTGTTTTCTGCGTGGAGATTTTTTATTTTGAGTTTTAGAGATCTCACTTTACTGATATCTAAGATGAAGAATCCTAATTGGTTTGTGTTTGTAGTCTATGTGTGAGATGACTCGGTGTTGTAAGGCAGCTTTGTGTTTTGTTTTGGAGGGGGACTAATATTTTTTGCACATTCAGTATAACAGTTTGTATATCTATTTTTGTGTGGTTGTAACCATTCTTACTTCTGAGGTTGTAAAAAAAAAAAATGTGTATTGTTCTTGCCCACGACACATTTAGTGTAAATCTATTACTTTATTTTGTAATAAAGGTCTTAAAAAAAATCCTATCTCTCTCTCAATCTCTCTCCGTCTACAAACACACTCCCCTCCCTCTCTAGCTGTAACACAGACCCGCACACAGAGACACACACACACTTCTGCTCTTATTCTCCAGTAAAGATGCTGCACAAAGTCCGAGATCAGGTCAAGAAACATCCTGGAGTGAGTATTTTAATTCAATTTGCCTTTTTACCACTTAAAAAAAAAAAAAAAAAATTAAAATTAAAAAATTTTAATCTATAACAAGCATTAATAAGGAAATAAAACAAACAGCTCATTTGATTCGCTTGCTAATATAATGCTAAAATACATCCTGAAGTCTCAATAATAATCTGAAATATATAATATATAAGTACAGTGTTGCATGGCCTGTAGGACTAAACACTTTTATGGCATTAATTAAAAAAACTGCTAACAATGTAAAATTAGTACACTCATCTTCTGTGGATGCTCTTAAATGTTAAACTTAAGATAAAAATGACTTTGAAATAAGATGATTGGAACTGGGGGGGAAAAAAAACATATTTTGTCACAATATTTCGATTGGATTCAAAATATAAAGATCTTATCTGATGGCAATCCAGACCTTTTATTTTATATTATTTATAACACTTTCCAAGAGAGCGAACCGTAAATCGTGTGGTCTTCCACAGCTCATCCCGCAGTTTTTCTTCATCTGTCTGGGAATGGGTGGAGCGTTCCTGTATCTGTTTCGTCTGGCCAGAGGACCTCATGTCACGTAAGGAGATTATTACATACATTAATGGGGAAAGCGTATGAGTACTGCCATTTAAATACACGTTAAAGGAGTAGTTCACTTTTAAATAAACTTTAGCTGATAATTTTCTCACCCCCATGTCATCCAAGATGTCCATGTCTTTCTTTCTTCAGTCGAAAAGAAATGAAGGTTTTTGATGAAAACATTCCAGGATTTCCTCCATATAATGGACTTCAATGGGAACCAAACAGTTCAAGATCCAAATGAGAGTTTCAGTGCAAACTGTTCAAAGGGCTTTAAACGACACCAGCCGATGAACCAAGCGAAACGATCGCTCATTTACAAAAATAAATAACAAAGTTTAGGTTTTATAAGCTCAAATGCTCGCCTTGCTCTGTTCTGTGATGCGCGTTCGTGACTCTCCTGTTCGAACTCGTTCATCAAAGTGAACAAATCTTTATTTGAGTCATTTGGTTCATTCAACGAACGAAATGAATGAATTGACTCGAAAAAATATTCATTCATCGTCTGGTGTCGTTTAAAGCCCTTTGAACAGTTTGCACTGAAACTCTCATTTGGACCTTGAACCGTTTGGTCCCCATTGAAGTCCATTATATGGAGAAAATGCTGGAATGTTTTCATCAAAAACCTTAATTTCTTTTCGACTGAAGAAAGAAAGACATGGACATCTTGGATGACACGAGGGTGAGTAAATTATCAGCAAAAGTTTATTTAAAAGTGAACTACTCCTTTAAACTGATTCTTCTTGGTTATGAAATTTTAGATAATTCATTTGATTCTATTACCAAACACCATAAAATGGCTATTGGATGTGCGATATGCAAAATAAGGTATTTTATCCCCAGAGTAAGCATAATTTATATCTAACTGTGTCATAATTCAATTCGTGACGCTGAAAATGAATGCTTGATCTAATTTTAATTATTACACCTATTAAACTTTCATTTAGAATAAACAATTGAGGCATTATAATTTGTTGACTGCCACTGTTAGATATAAAATGTGATGTTTAAGAAAGTGTGGCTTATTTGTAATATGTCTTTATGTTTTGTATGTTGACAGCTGGAACAAAAGCAGTAACCCTGAACCCTGGAATCAGCTCAGTCCCGGATACCAGTACAAGGTACATGAGCACATCACACAGTATCAGTCGTGCTCAGGTCGGGGGTCAAACCTATAGAGGTACATGGGAGACTAGCCTATAACATAACAAATATCACCTTCGACATCATTCTCATTTGCTTCAACGGCAAAAGGAATTTGCACTTCCATGACTTAAACAATATAAAGGTTGATAATAGCTGAAGACAGCAGAAGTCAAAAGAGAGAAACTCACTTTTATATCATTTAATTCTATGGTAATTTAGCACAAAGCTTAATGTTAAAGGGTCCATTCTTGTTCTCTGTTATAACGTGATACTAATATGCAAGTCAAAGCGGTAACTCTTAATAAATGAACAACTACACAGGAACAAATGAGTCACACACGACTATTCTAGAACTATTAACTAATGTAATGGAAAAATGTTAACAGATCAGTAGAGTTGAGAAGAGATGTGTTTGTGAACTGCTGTGTCATGTTTGAGTATCTGGGGAGGTGGCCGAGTGTGACACTTCAGGAACATATGGGACATGACCTTTGACCTCAGGCCTATGATAGTCTGAGATAAACATGAGTGTACGTGACAGTGGCTCTCTTATCGGAGAAGACAGACAGAAGCAGCCGAAGACCTTGAAACATCTCTTCCTGAATAAATAGAATAAATACTTCTCTTTTAATAAAAACTTGTGTAACACTTTAAAATACGGGTGCACTAATATGTATTAATTCATGTTTAACAAATGCACAGATAATCATGAGTTGATGTATAACTCATGAAGAACTAAACCCTTAATTAATGATTACTGCATCAGAAACTAACTAGAAAAAAAAGTTTGATGACAAACTTTAAGTTGGCTTGAGAAAGCCGGACCAGAGCGTTTGAAGTTTTGAAGTTTGAATGAAGTTTTAAAGATAGATTAGAAAGAAAGAAAGAAAGATGGATAGATTAGTTAGAAAGAAATATAGATAGATAGATAGATAGATAGATAGATAGATAGATAGATAGATAGATAGATAGATAGATAGATAGATGTTTTCGGCAAGAATCTAACATGATTAGCATGTAGCTAGCTTGATGCTAATTTGATTAGCATGTAGTTAAGATGATTAGCATGTTGTTAGCATGATTAGCATGTAGCTAGCATCATAATAGCATGATTAGCATGTTGCTAGCATCATGCTAACGTGTTTTTATCAAGAAGCTAGCATGACTAGCATGTAGCTAGCATCATGCTAACCTGATTAGCATGTTGCTAGCATCATGCTAGCATGTTTTAGCAAGAAGCTAGAATGATTAGCATGTAGCTAGCATCATGCTAGCATGATTAGCATGTTGCTAGCATCATGTTAGCATGTTTTTAGCAAGAAGCTAGCATGATTAGCATGTAGCTAGCATCATGCTAGCATGATTAGCATGTTGCTAGCATCATGCTAGCATGTTTTTAGCAAGAAGCTAGCATGATTAGCATGTAGCTAGCATCATGCTAGCATGATTAGCATGTTGCTAGCATCATGCTAGCATGTTTTTAGCAAGAAGCTAGCATGATTAGCATGTTGCTAGCATCATGCTAGCATGTTTTTAACAAGAAGCTAACATGATTAACATGTAGCTAGCATCATGCTAGCATGATTAGCATGTTGTTAGCAAGAAGCTAACATGATTAGCATGTAGCTATCATCATGTTAGCATGATTAGCATGTTGCTAGCATCATGCTAGCATGTTTTTAGCAAGACGCTAGCATGATTAGCATGTAGCTAGCATCATGCTAGCATGATTAGCATGTAGCTAGCATCATGCTAGCATGTTTTTAGCAAGAAGCTAGCATGATTAACATGTAGCTAGCATCATGCTAGCATGATTAGCATGTTGCTAGCATCATGCTAGCATGTTTTTAGCAAGAAGCTAGCATGATTAGCATGTAGCTAGCATCATGCTAGCATGATTAGCATGTAGCTTGCATCAAAATAACATGATTAGCATGTTGCTAGCATCATGCTAGCATGTTTTAGCAAGAAGCTAGCATGATTAGCATGTAGCTAGCATCATGCTAGCATGATTAGCATGTTGCTAGCATCATGCTAACATGTTTTTAGCAAGAAGCTAGCATGATTAGCATGTAGCTAGCATCATGCTAGCATGATTAGCATGTTGCTAGCATCATGCTAGCATGTTTTTAACAAGAAGCTAGCATGATTAGCATGTAGCTAGCATCATGAAAGATGTTAGAAAGATGGATAGATTTGTTAGAAAGAAAGATGGATAGATTAGTTAAGTAGAAAGAAAGACTGATAGATTAGTTAGGTAGAAAGAAAGATGGATAGATTAGTTAGGTAGAAAGAAAGATGGATAGACTAGTTAGAAAGAAAGATGGATAGATTTGTTAGAAAGAAAGACTGATAGATTAGTTAGGTAGAAAGAAAGATGGATAGATTAGTTAGGTAGAAAGAAAGATGGATAGACTAGTTAGAAAGAAAGATGGATAGATTTGTTAGAAAGAAATATGGATAGATTAGTTAGAAAGAAAGAAAGATGGATAGATTAGTTAGGTAGAAAGAAAGATGGATAGATTTGTTAGAAAGAAAGATGGATAGATTTGTTAGAAAGAAAGAAAGATGGATAGATTTGTTAGAAAGAAAGAAAGATGGATAGATTTGATAGAAAGAAAGATGGATAGATTAGTTAGAAAGAAAGATGGATAGATTTGTTAGAAAGAAAGAAAGATGGATAGATTTGTTAGAAAGAAAGAAAGATGGATAGATTTGTTAGAAAGAAAGATGGATAGATTTGATAGAAAGAAAGATGGATAGATTTGATAGAAAGAAAGATGGATAGATTTGTTAGAAAGAAAGATGGATAGATTAGTTAGAAAGAAAGATGGATAGATTAGTTAGAAAGAAAGATGGATAGATTAGTTAGAAAGAAAGATGGATAGATTAGTTAGAAAGAAAGATGGATAGATTAGGTAGAAAGAAAGATGGATAGATTTGTTAGAAAGAAAGAAAGATGGATAGATTTGTTAGAAAGAAAGATGGATAGATTTGATAGAAAGAAAGATGGATAGATTTGTTAGAAAGAAAGATGGATAGATTTGTTAGAAAGAAAGATGGATAGATTAGTTAGAAAGAAAGATGGATAGATTAGTTAGAAAGAAAGATGGATAGATTAGTTAGAAAGAAAGATGGATAGATTAGTTAGGTAGAAAGATGGATAGATTAGGTAGAAAGAAAGATGGATAGATTTGTTAGAAAGAAAGATGGGTAGATTAGTTAGAAAGAAAGATGGATAGATTTGTTAGAAAGAAAGATGGATAGATGTGTTAGGTAGAAAGAAAGATGGATAGATTTGTTAGAAAGAAAGATGGATAGATTTGTTAGAAAGAAAGATGGATAGATTTGTTAGAAAGAAAGATGGATAGATTAGTTAGAAAGAAAGATGGATAGATTAGTTAGAAAGAAAGATGGATAGATTTGTTAGAAAGAAAGATGGATAGATTTGTTAGGTAGAAAGAAAGATGGATAGATTTGTTAGGTAGAAAGAAAGATGGATAGATTAGTTAGAAAGAAAGATGGATAGATTTGTTAGAAAGAAAGATGGATAGATTAGTTGGGTAGAAAGAAAGATGGATAGATTTGCTAGAAAGAAAGATGGATAGATTTGTTAGAAAGAAAGATGGATAGATTATTTAGAAAGAAAGAAAGATGGATAGATTTGTTAGAAAGAAAGAAAGATGGATAGATTTGTTAGAAAGAAAGAAAGATGGATAGATTTGTTAGAAAGAAAGAAAGATTAGGTAGATAGATAGATAGATAGATAGATAGATAGATAGATAGATAGATAGATAGATAGATAGATAGATAGATAGATCATTAGTACATATAGAATGGTAGTTTAATTGAGTCTAGGGCTTCAGGGAATTTAGATTTGAGTTTTTGTTGTACGCTATTGGGCCACCGTAGTCTTGGCTCAATTTGACCATGCTGCAATGAAAGTCAATGGGATTTTTATGATTTTTAATATTAATTTTTAAGAAATCTGAAAGTCGAATCAGTCTAAAAAGATATAGCACACTAAGTCAGAACAGTCTGAAGGTCTGACCCGAGTTTGGAGTTTGTAGAGTTAAAGCTCTAGGAGGAGTTAGAGTCAGAAAATTTTGGGTAAGAAAAATAAGAAGAAGAAGAAGAAGAATAATAAGTTTAAATAGGATTTCAGTAAGTTGGCTTTCTCAAGCCAACTTAATAAAGAGTCTATATGATTAATAGATTAAGCAATTCAACGTGCCATTATGTATTAATTCCTTAATAACATATTTTATTAACTAATAGTGTAAATTAATGTGTTAATTACCACAATTAGTCAAAGCTATGCACTTCAACTTCCAGTTGTCTGCTTTAATTAATCATTAGCTAATGATTTGCAAATGTATCATTATGTTATGACTTTACTCGATGGGGCACATCATTATTAACTAGTCATTTAGTAATTTGCACATATAGACTCTTTATTAGTTGCTGATGCAGTAATCATTAATTAATGGTTTAGTTCTTCATTAGTTATACATTAACTCATGATTATCTGTGCAGTAGTTAAGCATGAATTAATGGATATTAGTGCCCCCGTATTGTAAAGTGTTACCGAACTTTCCAATCAACCAAACAGATTTGAGGGACAAGTTTACAGTTTAGAATCAGGTTGAAGTACTTTAACATCAGTGTTATTCACCTTTCATTACCCTCTGATTTTAGGGAACATTTTATGGGTGGGGCTAGGTTTTGGGGTAGGGACTACATTTTGGGACAGGAATGTTGATCTCGGGCCGTGTCTTACTTGGCAAAATCACGGTGACCAGGAAAGCCCCTTATCCGTGTGAGCGACACATATGAGGTGTTTCTCCCTCCTAAATTGTTGCATTTCTTAGTGATTTATAATCCTGTGATACTTCTGCCTTTTATGAGTTTAATAAAGAACTCTGTCTCGTCTTCTGTCCAAACACACCCCGCCATCTTTAAAGAAAGATCATGTGACTTTTCCGTACGAATGCGATTCAATTCGCAATTTGAAGGGTAATGGAAGTGCAGCGAGTGACGCTCTTTACTGAATGTTGTGGACAGGTTAATTGCTTGTTTCCTTGCAAAACTATTTAAAAAAAAAAACAACCTTCAGTCAACATTAAAATAAAAAACAGTACAATACAGTACAGAAAATACAAAATGCCATCAGCATGTTTTTCATGTATAGGTTTAATGGGTTAGTTGGATTTAATATTTTAAGATTTGAAGAGTTCAGATGCAAAAGCCTCTAAATGCCATTTGAAATTTTCTTCTAGAATGATCATTTTTATCAAGCTTGTATATTTAAGTTCAGTGATTTCACTTAAATGGCAATGATAATTACCTATTAATTGTTATTTAAGTGAAATTACTGAACTTAAATATACAAGTTTGACAAAAATCATCATTAAAGAAGAAAATTTCAAATGGCATTTAGAGGCTTTTGCATCTGAACTCTTCATTTATTTATTTATTTTTAAATAATAATTTGTACAACAGTATGATCATATAGCACTTTCTCTTTGGCAACCATTCTGTGCAATACATGATCAAGGGAATGTGCCGTTATTTCAGCTGCTAATATATGAGTGAAATTAAAATATGCACAAAGATTGGAATGATGGCAAATGCTGATTTGAGTGCTTGCGAAAGGTTCACTAGTTGACAAGCCGTCGTTCCTGCTGTCAGATGTAAGATCTGCTCTAAATTTGACACTTCCTAGCCTAGAAACATGACAGAAAACAGCCATAGTAATACAGACGCAAGTTAATGCTCTATATAACATCACTGTCTGTCTCGTCCTGCCATACAATCAACACATGTTATCTTTCTCCCATCTTTAGTTTGTGGCCATTAACACAGACTACAAGAACCTGAAGAAGGAAGGACCAGACTTCTGAACGCGTCACGGCTCAACTTTCATCAGATGCCCTTTACCTCAGCAGTACAAATACAGACAATAATACAAATAAACGAGGAAAATAAAACAAATGTGGGACGATATTTGAAATGAAGACCTGTTTTTAAACTAGTTTTATATCTTCACTACACACACTAGGAGACGTGCCTATTAACATGAAATGAAGAGCTGATGGGTGTTACTTTTGTTTATGTGCTTTAGACAGAAACCCCTAAAATTGCAGAGATAACATGACCTCCCCCTAGCGAGCATGAGAAAGGGCGAAGGGAAGACGAGCAGATGTTTGATTTCTGTAAACAGAACCTGAACAGCAAAGACTCATGGGAAGGAGCTGAACTTCCTCTTAAGTCTGGGATTATTTGGGAAAGCAGTTCAGTTCAGAGTGACACACATGTTTATCTGTGTCTCTCTCACTATCTTTCTATCTGCACGTATTACTGACTTATCGTCACCATCATACAACACACGTTCTCCTCGCTGACTTGGCAAACCGTACAAACAAACACAGGAAATAGGCAGCCATTAGACTCGCAGTGTTTACTCTCCAGACCCCCAGAGATGGTAAAGGAACACGTATAAAGATGCTTTACTCATAACTTTACTCATATACAAGATTTTTACATTTTAACAGAAGTTTAGCTAAACATGCCACTATTTGGTCCTTTTTCAGTTCACGAGTTCATGGTAATTTGTTCATCCATGTATTTCCATTTTTAAAAAACGACCACAAATAATTTCATTTGAAACGTTTAAATTACTAAACAATTAGGACACTTTTTTGGGGGAAACGATCCATAAAATATAGGATAATCATAAAAACATAAGACAATGCGGGTTTAAACTAAAAGTTTTAGTGACATTTGTTTACCAGTTCACAATGGCCTTTTTACCATATGCATTTAATCTACTGTCTAATCTAAAGCGACGCTATAATGGGTTCACACACTGTGAGAGGAAATGTTACGTTGCTGGTTTGCGTAGAGTTTAGTGTTTGTATTCCCTGTACATTTTTGATGCAGTTTGAGAAATATATAATCTGTGTTTTGTGCAAAATGAATAAAGAGCACTGCTGCAAAAAATCTACATCTGTCCAGTGACGATCTATATTCAGAAACTTTATATTTCATTTATTTTTATCAGATTGCAAAACCAAATTCGAATTACGATTCGCTTAAACCTGAGAGGTTTTTCCTTTGAGTTTTCCGCGTAGAGACAACCCAGACAGCAAACTGACATTGAATCAACGTGGAAACGACGTCTCTCATGACATTGAAACAACGTTGATTTTGCTCATCGAATTAACGTTGAACCAACGTCAGACGCGGCATTCTTCAAAGCTAAATGAAAATCGAAGATTGGTTTGCTTTCATAACGTTGAAACAACGCGTTGATTTCAAGTTGATTTTCCGTTTGTTTTGAAAGAATGACGCGTCTGACGTTTTTTCAACGTTAATTCAATGAGCAAAACAATGTCAGATCAACGTTGTTTCGATGTCATGTTTCCACGTTGATTCAATGTCAGTTTGCTATCTGGGAACACCATTGTTAACAACTAAAAACGCTGTATTCTGCCACCAGGCCATTAGATGGCGGTGAAACACTACAGAACTAACACAGTCTCATCCCAAGTCGTCATATAACTGACGTCTTGGGACGTCTTTTGACCATACGTCAACATCCGCCTTTTTAGGGTACCCTTAAACGTCGGTTAGTTGACGATCCCGGGCCGTCATACAACTGACGCTTTACCTTTAACGTCGGTTAGCTGACGGTGTAGGTTTAGGTCAGGGGTAGGGTGATCCGATAACGTCATCTAACCGAAGTTTAAAGTCCCCGTGAACCGGAAGTTGCAAACGATTTTTCTCCAGTGCTGTGACGTATTTACAAGTGAAACGTAATATTGAACAGAGGGCAGGGTTTTACTATAGCGCTCCTCCTCTCCATCTCTCTCGTTTGAGGGGAGTGGTTAAGCGTTTCCCCACCCAAACTGTGAAACCTGCGTCATCAGAAAAAGAAACCGTTCCAGACCGGAAGTAACTTTTCAGATTTTGATTAAAGATTACCAAGGTAAAACATTTTTTAATATATATTTACTTGCACGGATTAATTGTTCACCACAAGACTAGTAATATGCGCTAACAAAGTAAATAGGTTCAATTTTGATTTCACAGGGACTTTAAGGGTACCCTAAAAAGGCGGATGTTGACGTATGGTCAAAGGACGTCCCAAGACGTCAGTTATATGACGTCTTGGGGTGAGACTGCGCACAGAACACATAATACGCATGTGCATGACGTCACCATCTTCAAAGATTCACTTTTGTATTGTTTACTAGATGACTGTTTTTTAACAACTCGCACTTTGAAAACCGTTTTCAATGGTTTAGATTATCAGGAACCCAAAACCCCGTTGTAGTGCAAATGAATGACCAAAACGCATAAAGTTTTCATTTTAATTTGAAAACAGTGTCGTGTAAACAGCCCCTTACATTGCATTTCCTAACAAAAAACTGAATGCATATTGCGACAGGAACAGTGTTTAACAGATCTTTGAGCTTGTTGATGTAGAATAGCTACTTGGCTAAATATGTGGAGGCCATAATGTTTGGCCTGCATACCAAAAAGCAGGTAACAACCACATGTTCCCCTTATCAGCTGTTTGATTGTGAGGCTAGGTACCGATGTGAGGTCCCTGACACCTGTGAGGTTAGCAGGCACGTGCAGAGGGTGGGGGGGCGTTGGGTGCTCGAGCACCTGCCCTTTTGCCCCTTGGTGCCCAAAGTGCCCTTTGTCAAGACAAAATTTTCTCTCCTTTTTTTTGTATTTAAAGGCACTTTTGTGGATGCCTGCCCCATCTAACTAGTAGTAAAATTAATGAATAATAATTTAGCCGTAAATAAAATGACCCACATGATGACCTTTCACCTGAACTCATTTTTTAATTTCGCGCGGCTACGCGCATTCCCAGAGGATATCTTCAACTCTTGTGGCTGCTGTTTTATTCTCAGCGAAGTAATTTTGATGTTTGTTTACTTATTATTATTATTTTACTAGAACGACGTGAAGAGAGCATGCAGAGAGATGTTGTTTGTATTGCTGTGTGTAGGCTGTAGAAGTAACGTAGCTTGCTGTTTGAGGGAGAAAAGTTTCACGGGCGTGGAGGGGTGTTATTTGACTAAAAACTATTATTTTTACTTTGAACTATTGTTATTATTATTATTATTATTATTACAGTATTTAATTTACTTAAAAAACGTGGAGTGCCATAAAAAATATTATCACAACTCTGGTAAGTGTATCACATAGGCTTACCAGTATCTTATGTTTTGTGTGCAGAAGCCTCTGTGAACATCTCCCCTAGTAGCGTTACTATTGTATACTATTATTGTATTATTATAGGCTACTATTAGCAGCCTGGGCAGAATCTGTAGCTTTAGCAGGTCAGTGAACTAGTGAGCCAGTTCCAAACACTGTCAGCAATAGGGATGGCTCGATACCACAATTTTGGCTTCGATACGATACCAGAACCTAATACCTCGGTATCGATAGCACAGTCGTAAAAAAAAAAAAAAGTCTAAATTTAAGTGAATTGAAACAATTTTATTAAACACTGCTTGAAACTCTCAACTACCATATGTGCAAAGAAAAGTATAAAAAAAACATCAAAATTTAAAATGTGTAGGTAAAATTATGATTTGGGGGAAAAAAACATTGATATTATACAATTAAAATAGGTTAATATCTATAATAATAGATTAACATAATAGAATAATGAAATGACGTAAACCATTAGCTGTCATGCATCAACAGAGAATTATCAACATTTATTGCATTTATTCATCTTGGTTTGGTTACTGTTTGTGTTTGGGTTCATATTATGCATATAATGCATTGCAAAAAGTGATGTTATGATGTTAAACATTTATTAGGATATTACATTTTTAGGTGATTTTATTACTGATTGATCTAGATTAATCAATGCTATATTGTTAGGCCAGGTTCCTTAGTGAATGTTGACAAATGTAGCTCAATTAATATTATTAATATTTATATTACTACCATCTCTCTCTCTCTATGGGTCGCCACAGCGGCAGTAATGACATTCATTTTACTATCACTTTTATGCTTTATTAATTCAAATCAAATGAATATATGTGTTTGAAATTGCAAAAATGATGAGCTCATGAGACGTAAACTGAATTGGTTCTAGCGTGTCATGCAAGAAGATTTGAGCTTTCGTGTTTACCGTATCATATTTAATTGATAAGCTCTTATTTATGTGCGCTGTTCAGTGTTCAATAAAAGTCTAAATTAAATCATTTGAATGATGAACTCACCAGTTGATCTCTTGAACAAGTCCGGATGAGCAACTGACGAGCGCTTTGGCAGATTTGATGTGTTTAATTCCATGGCAACACATTATTGAAAGCAAAGTTTGCAGAGTGGTGCATTGAGGTCTGTTTCTACACTATTCTCATTAATTTAGTAGGCAAAGTAATGCCTTATTTCACTCATACTGCTCTTTCTATTTATTAATTTCGGGCGTGTGAAAATCCGACTGAGCTTCATTTCCACCGTGTTCCTTCGGTTGCCGGTTTCGCGTGACTCGCGTCAGTTTCGGTAGCGCACTGCCGCCTAGTGGAGAACTTCGGAACAGCAGCTCATCAAATACCGAATTTAACAAAATGATGATATTGTACCGTTTGAAATTTATTTTATACCGGTATTTTTGCAATACTGGTATACCGCGCATCCCTAGTCAGCAATCTTTACATCTTGTCATGGTCACATAAAAATGGTTTAATCAGCTAATAGCCTATATCTCTGTTTATTTTAATGTCTACTACAGTCTCAGATCAAATCCAGCAGTATCATCATCATCAGCAGCAGCAGTAACAACAACAACAACAACATCAACAGCAAAGGCAGCAAACTCACTTAAGGACTTTAGTAAGAATTTACCAGAACAGGCATCACATTAATGTTAAAAGTCTTGTAAAGTATTAATTGCTGTTTCTGTTTGCTTTGTTTTTATTTTCATTGTATAAAATGTAACTCTTGTATTTTTGTAAATAAGTTTTTGCCATTAAAATAGCCACAGATGCTGATATGCCATTAAATAAAACTATACTGTACTGCACGAAACATGGGCCAGGTTGATTTTGTCCTACACAGTTCACTATAACAGCTGTTCTTAATTATTCTGTATAACCTCAGGTTAGCACAATTGTGTTTTCACAGATAACATTTTGAAATGTCGTCACATTTTTATTACTACTTCTTCAACGTTTACGCACAATTTGCCTCTTTACTCTAGATCAATAAAAGTATGCAGGAAAGTATCCAGAGGAGAGCATTTCTGAATGCGTTAAAGGTGCCTTCTGGGATAAAAAATCAAATCATACACCATATTTCATACCAGATGGGGGTAACAGTATACCTCCAGAAAAATGCCTCCGCGGCCGCGCGCACTCATGTCTTCAAACAACACGGGCGAGCGGGTCTCCCTCGCGCATATTAGTCAGTAAAACTAATAGTAAAAGGTTGGAAGACCGCAGTTTCACGTGGATCATTTGGAGATTTTCAGAGATTAGAGACTAAATGAACAACATCTCAATACTAAATTATAAAGGCCGTCTCATAGACAAGCCGGTGCTCGACGATATAGGAAAATAAAGGTATTATGGTATTCGTTTTGCTCATGTTACATTTTTTATCATTAGTTTGAATTAATTTGACAGACAGCATTCCCTGATGTGGACCAAGCTAGCGCCTTTCAGAGCTGCCAACTCTCACAAATTCACCGTGAGACACACAACTTTTCACATACTCTCACGCCACATCCATTTTGTCATGCACAGAAAAGGACACAGAGACCGATCTCAGCTCTCAGATTCTGTTCATTTTATTACGCAATTCAAACAATAAATGCAGTTTTGGCGCTTTACACGACAGGCTAGCGCACGTGAACCGATCGTCTCTACTAGCTAATGGTAAAAGAACATGAACACTGTTGAAAGATATGTTACAACTTACCAAAATGTATTCCTCGTGTATAATATCGACCAATCGTTTATTTA